CAGTTGGTTTAATTACTATTGGAAATGCTTGTCATTCCTCTGTAGCATCTGGTCCCCACTGGACCCTCATCATTTCCTTCACCTGCTCCCCCCACCGACCAAACTGTGGAGCTCTGCAACTGCACCCTGGACCATCCTCACCCTTCTGCTCCCAACCCTCACCTCCTTGTACCCCCAATATGTTTTTCCCAATAAAAAAAATATTTAAAAAAAAAAAGATGCACAGTATAGTTTTGGAGAAGTCCTTAATATCAGATTTTCCCAATGCAGTATGTCTTGATTTCTGGACTGCTGCTACTATGGGTGTTGATTGAAAATCTAAGTAAAAAGAAATTGCTTTGACAACTTCAGTCTTTTCTCTACCTAACATGATGTTGCCTATAAGTCCAGTAGTGAGGATTTTTATTTTCTTGGTGCTGAGGTTTAGCTCATAAGGAAGGCTATATAGCCTTTGCTCTCCATCAAAACTTCTTCGAGTTTCTTCATCTTCTAAAACAAGATTGTGTTATTTGCGCAACACACATTGTTGGTGAGTCTTCCTCCAGTCTTTATAACAATTCTCCTTTTAGTCCATCTTTTCAAATTATTTGCTCAGTGTACACATTGAGTGGGTATAGAGACAAGATACAATCTTGAAGCACATCTTTTCTGATGTTAAACAGTGTTCCCTTGTTCTGTTAGGACAGTTTCTTGATCTATGTATAGGCTTCACATAAGCATGATTAAGCGTTCTAGAGTCCCGTTTTTCTCTATGTAACCCATAATTTATTATGACCTACACAGTCAAATCCCTTTATGTAGTCAGTAAGTTCCATCTGACATCATTAATAATGTCTGTGTGCAACAGCCTCTTCTGAATCCAGCTTGAATTAATCTTTAGCAAGAGTATACTTTCATGTGATGATAATAATGTAACTTGGTAAATGGTATTTCCTCTGGAGGCTCCATCGCACATATTTTGGGCATGTGGCTAGGAGGGATCTGTCCTTGGAGAAGGATATTATGCTTGGAAAGATGGAGGGACAGTGTAGGAGTTGAAGAGGTGAGATGGACTGACAGTGTAGCTGGCGTCATGGAGGTAGGTGTATCTAGTCAGGAGACTAGTTCTGGATAAGGCAGAGTTTAGGGCTATTGTATATAGCAATATACTCATATTGTATATATGAGTCTCAGGCAACTTGATGGCGAATAACAACAATAAATGGTATTTAATAGGAACTAAGAATTTTGATGGCCTCGAATGGCCTACTGCATTGCAATCCCAAGGGCACACTGTTCAAATCCACCATTTGCTCAGCACGAAAAGGAAGAGCAATCGCCTGTGTGATTTATAATCTCTGAAAACCCACTGGAGGGGTCAGCTATGAGTTGGTTCCAGCGCCACAGCACACAACAACAGCAAAAATTTGGAAGTAATTTAAGAGGTCCTGATAAACTATGTAATTTCTCAATGGGTAATAGAAAGTCTAATAGATTTGATGTTATTTCCTTTTATGTGAAATATGAAATCAAGGCCTCAAACCTGTTCCTGAGATGATTCTGAAATTCAGGTGGTATGAAATCAAAGTCATATTTTGGCTCCTGTGGATTTGGTTTAATTTTCCTCAGCTTCAGCTTGAACTTGCATATGAGTAATTGGTGGTCTGTTCCACAATCAGCCCCCGGCCTAGTTTTCACAGCTGATATTGAGCTTCTCCAGCGGTTCCTTCCACAGATGTAGTCGATCTGATTCCTATGCATACCATCAGGTGAAGTCCATGTGTATAACCTGCGTTTGTGTCTCTTATAAAATGTATTTGCAATGAATAAGTCATTGATTTTACAAAATTCAATCATTCTATCTCCAGCTTCATTCCTGCCACCAAGCCCATATTTTCCGACCACTGATTCTTCTTCACTATTTCCAACTTTTACATTCCAGTCACCCATTATTATCAATGCATCTTGATTGCATGTTTGATCTATCTCCGACTGTAGAAGTTGGTAGAAATCATCTATTTCTTCTTCTTTGGCTCTGGTTGTTGGTGCGTATATCTGAATGATAGTGGTATTCACTGGGCTTCCTTGTAAGCATATGGATATAATCCTGTCACTCACGGTGTTGTACTTCAAGATGGATCTAGAAATTACATTTTTTACTATAAAGGCAACCCCATTTCTCCTTGTCTTTTCATCTCCAGAGTAATATATCATATGGTCATCTGACTCAAAATGCCCCATGCCAGTCCATCTCATCTGTCCAATGCCTAATATGTCAATATTTATGTGTTCCATTTCTTTCTTAACAATTTCTAATTTTCCTTAATTCATGGCTCTCACATTCCATGTACCAATCACTAGGGTCTGCTTACAACTGTTCCTCCTCCCTTGTATTTCCATACTTGGTAGTTCTACCTAGGTTGCCCTTTCTGTTAATCTGCGTGTGTTCTGTTGTGCATAGGGTTTTCAGAGGCCGGCTATTTCAGAAGTGGGTGGCCAATCCTTCTTCCTAGTCTGTCTTAATCTGAATGTTCAGATTTAGAGGAGTATCTGACAGACAGCAATTTGTGAAGCAGTGAAAGATAAATCCCTTATTGTGGAGTTAAGCATTAGTTACAGTGCTGACCGCACCCTTAGCCCAGAGCCTTGACCCACTTACTTCCCAGTTCCACCCTCAACCAGGATAACCCTTCCCATCTGCCAAGTCCCTTTAGAAAATATCTTCCATTGTCCAACCCATGATCTGACAGCTTGTATCTTAAGCTTTCTTTGCTTCTGTGATTCCAAAAACGTCGACTGCTGACATTTTTCTTTTGACCAGTGTCTCTTAAGTTTAGTTGTACTGTCTCCAAGGGAAGTTGACGTGTCCTGTAGAACCCTTGTGTAGATTATGTTTTGCTTTCTGGCCCGAGAGCCGCAGGCCTAAGGGCCTGCCGGGTTTCACTGTGTCTGACCTGGAAGACGACTCCTTTGCTGTGATCCGAGGTGACCTTGCCCAGTGAGACCTTCCCCTCCCTCTCTGGCCGGGTTTCGCTGTGTCTGACCTGGAAGACGACTCCTTTGCTATTATCCGAGGTGACCATCTCCGTTATGTAGATGACACAACCCTGCTTGCTGAAACTGAGGAGGACCTCATGCACTTGCTGCGAAGGGTCAAGGACTGCAGCCTTCAGTATGGACTGAGGCTCAATGTCAAGAAGACAAAGATTCTCACCACTGGACCAATTGGCAGCGTCAGGATTGATGACGAAGAGATTGAGATTGTTCACAGCTTCAGTTTGCTCGGCTCCACAGTCAACACTCTTGGCACCAGCAGTCAGGAAATCAAAAAGCGTAACGCGATGGGAAAGTCTGCTGTTAGGGACCTCTCCAAAGTACTCAGGAGCAACAGTGTCTCTCTGGAGACTAAGGTGCGCCTGATACAGGCCATGGTCTTTGCAATCGCTTGTTATGCATCAGAGAGTTGGACAATGACTAGGGAGGGCAGAAGGAGAGTGGATGCTTTTGAGCTGTGGTGCTGGAGAAGGGTACTGAATGTACCCTGGACTGCCAGGAAAACAAACAGATTTGTCTTGGAGAGGATTAAACCAAGCTACTCCTTGGAGGCAAGGATTCTGGGGCTTCGTCTGACATACTTTGGACATGTTGCCAGGAGGGACGGGTCCTTGGAGAGGGACATCATGCTTGGGAGGGTTGAGGGACAACGCAGGAGGGGAAGACCCTCTATGAGATGGATTGATTCGGTGACTGGGGTAATAGGGATGGGTGTGTCAGAGGCGGTGTGGTTGGCGCAGGATAGAGCAGGGTTTAGGGCTGTTGTGCATAGGGTCACTATGAGTCGGAAACGACTCGACGGCGCATAACAACAACAACAACATGTGAAATATATTTGGAACCCTTGATATTGACTATGCAGAAAGAAATTTGATAACTCAAGCTTATCATGTATGGTATGGGTAACACAAATCTTAAAACCCTAGGCTAGCTCTCAAAGGACTTTTAGATATAATCTCTAATAACTATTTCACTGAGACTCAAAGAGTTCAAATAGCATAGGCAAAGTAAAACAACTTCAAAATGGAATAAACAAATCAGCCAGAAATGAAGTCTCATAAAACTCTCTTCAGTCTCCAACCCCTGTAGTGTGTGACTTCAGTATTCAGTGCTTTATAACATTTTCTATTCCATCACACTTTGACTCCACCATGGACTTTTTATGCTTGTGAGCAAATCACTTGCCACTAATCTGAAAATAAATTTTTAGCATTCTATGATTAATATTTTCTACAGTAATAATTAATTTTTAATTGTAATACCTTGAAGTAAATTGCTTTTTGAAAAATCATGCAAAGCTCTGTGCTGTCAAATCCCCATAAGTTAAAATATATTTTAATAGTTTTGGCTTAAAATATTTAATAATAGCTCTTATAAAAGTAGTATTTTTTAAATATAATGGGGAATTTATAATGTTCAAGATGAGTATGTGTTCCCTTGTTGTCCACTGGGTGTCAATATGGTGAACTAACAATAAGTTGCAATACAATGAGTATATTAAAGAAATATTTATCTCATCAAGTTAAAGCTATTGTTCATCAGCTTAACCTTTTTCTACTAGGAATTTCTACCTGTCTGTCTGTCTGTATGATAGTTAACAACTCAGAGAAATACACTTTCAAGAATTTTTCTAAAAAAAAAAAAAAAGAATTTTTCTAATATCCCTTTAGAGATTTGAATCTTTTGTCTCTTCTCCTTTCATGTTACATTTTAGTACCACTTAATATAATTTATTTGATTCCAGTTGAACAATTTATTTATTTCGTCAGGGGAACTGGTGATCTGGTGGGTAAGAAGTTGCGCTGCCAACTCAAGACAGGTGACTCAACTCCACCGGCTGTTCTGAGGGATAGACAATCTCTTCCTGTGCAATTTACAGGCTCTGAAAATCCACTGGAGAGTCAATCTCCACAATAATTCTGTGACATTGAGGAATCAGTATAACATTCCCAATGGACTAAACTCCACCCTACTTGAAGGAAAAAACAAAACTTAAAGAATCTTTTGCTTGTTAATTATAAAAATTCCTAGATTCACCTCCATAAGTAATTATTCTAATAGTCATATTAAGCTTAAGAAAAGTAAAATAAAATATTTTACATGATTAAGGGTATTCCTTATGCCAGGCACAATGTACAACTATGTAAATTTACATAAAAGAATTTGGAATAATTATTTGCATTACTCAGTTTGTCTTGCTTTTTAAAAGGGTTTAAAATGAAGTCCCATTTAAGGTAGATAAATTTAATGCTTTTAAAATGCAACAATATGTTCAAATTTTGCTTTATATAATTTCAGTTATAAGTTGTAGAATAACAAAATGCTAATAATTACCTATAGTGATTTCTGGTGAAAAGAAAGTGGGAAGGAATTAAATGTGACCAAAAGAATTATTTTGATTTCTATTTGTTATTTAATGTGAGTGTGTGTGTGATGTGTCTTGACTTTGTTGTCTTACTCTCTCTTAGGGCCAAGAAATAATGATATGAATAACCCAACTTACATTGGATTTGAACGGGATGTATTCAGAACAATTGCAGATTATTTTCTAGAGCTCCCTGAACCTCTACTTACCTTTGAATATTATGAATTATTTGTGAATATTTTGGGTATGTGTGGATTTTCACTTATTATTTATATTCAGTTTATTAAAATTTTCAAGCTCCCCATTATTAAAAAGTATAAAAGTTTAAGTAAATGTGACGAAATTATGAATTATTTTTCAAATTCAGTGATACTCTGGTTATCTTAAAATTAAGAAGTGTCTCGTTCTGCTAAAGTGAACTAGTAGTGTAGCCCACAGGAGTTATACTGCCAATTCAAAAGCTATACCTTGATGGCAATTTGAATTCACCAACTGCTTGTATAGAGAAAAATTAACATTTTCAGCCTCAGAAACCCAATGGAGGGTCAGTTTGAGTTAGTTCTGATTTGATGGAAAACAGATATATTTTAGTGTATTCTGGCTTAATTATTTTAGTTGGAATGTTGAAATAATTTTTAAAATTATTTCTACTGCAGTAAGTGGGAAATCATCTAATCAGGCTTGCACGTTTGTAACTGAATGTTGCATGTGTCCTATTTAAGTGGCTTCTTCATTAAATAACTGCTATTTGCACTGTACTAACAGTATATACTGTAGTGATGCTTATTTTTTAACTTTAATATTTTATTTTTGTCCATTGTCATTTTTTGTCACAGTTGCATCTTAATTTTTTTGTTTCATTTTCTGGTAGTTGTTTGTGGCTACATCACAATTTCAGATAGATCCGGTGGAATATCTAAAATCCAAGATGATACACAGCCTTCAAAAATCCTTCACCCTTCAAAAATCCTTCACCCAAACAGTTTGAATTCTTTCAAATCAACTGAGTGTCTTCTTCTCAGTTTGCTTCATAAAGACAAAAACAAAGAAGAATCAGATTCTACTGGGAAACTGAAGACAAATGATCAAGGACTACAAGAAAGATGTGTTAATAAAATGGAATTAGTTAATTTAAGAAAGAGAAAAGCCAGAACTAATGACCTAATGGGAGGAAGCTGTCATAATTTAATAGGCTTAAGTACTATGCATGCTCTTTCTTCTGATATAAAACCACGGTGCCATTCTTTGGAAGGAATTGTAGATGTATCAGATAACTCAAGTAAAGAAATCTCCAGTATCTTCCATCAATCTATTCTGAATACAGAAGTACAAAATACCAAACCATTTTTAGAATCTAAAGCTGTGTTGAATCTTCATTCAAAGGAAAATAGTCAAAAGCCACTTTGTGTTGGTTTTAAAAGAACCTCTACTTTGACTGTTCAGGACCAAGAGGAGTTATATAATGAGAAATGCAAATCAAAGCAGCTTTGTAGATCTCAGAGTTTGCTTTTAAGGAGTAGTACAGCAAAGAATAGTTATATCAATACACCAGTGGCTGAAATTACCGTTAAACCAAATTGTACTGAGCATCTTGGACATGACAGCACAAGAGTGCAAACATCTATGGAGAGTCAACCCGGAGGGTCTAGTGTCATATTCAGTAAAAGACTCTGCAAAAGCACAATAGAACTTTCAGAAAATTCTTTGTATCCAGCTGCTTCTGTGTTGACTGGCACACAAAGTAAGACTGATGCTTTCAATGCATGTAACGTTAACTTTCCGTCTTTACTAACTCTGTGCTTGCTTACCTGCTTTTCCTTCTTTCTCTGAAATTGCTTAATTTTTCCCCAAAAAGGGGATTTTTTTTTGTCTTACTCTCAAAATTTTTTTCATGACATAACCAAGATTTATTCTATTTACCTAAAGCATTTACTTTCTTTCTTTTCAATTTTACTTATTCTGAGTCACTTTTTTCATAATAACTGAAAGACTTTTAACATTTAAAAATAAGTTGTGGAGAAATTAATGATTTCATTATTATTTTACTTGAAAAATGGGACTTTCTAGAAGTAGTCAAGAAAATGAAATAATTAAATATTTTTCCTTCTTTATGTCTTTACATACTAGCTGTATGTTCTGTAGTTTGAATTCATGTCATTGGTGACTCCTTTTATTGGTAACTTTACCTTCTAGGTTTGTTGCAGCCTCATTTAGAAAGAGTTGCTATTGATGCTCTACAGCTGTGCTGCTTGTTACTTCCCCCAGCAAATCGGAGAAAGCTTCAGCTTTTGATGCGTATGATTTCTCGAATGAGTCAAAATGTTGATATGCCCAAACTCCATGATGCAATGGGTACAAGATCACTGGTAAGTTGATTTCTTAAGGAAAGAATTTCAGAAAACAAAGCACATCAAGTTGATTCCAACTCATAACAACTCTATAGGACAAAGTAGAACTGTCCATAGGAGGGTTTGTTTATTTGGTTTCGGGGTGGGTTTTTTGTTGTTGTTGGTTTGCATACAATATAATTCATATCATAGTAGCTCATTCATTTACATTGTTTTATATAATCATTGATATATATTGTATTTTAGAAAATTAATTACTATTGATCTGCGTCTATTATTATCCTGTCTCTTCGGTCCCATTGAATCTTCCCTATTCCTTTACACACACCTGTCTCCCTCACTCTCCACCCACTAAACTCTCCTATCCTAATGATTTTTTTTTTTGCTCCATTTCCCCTTACTCTTTGGGACATTTATACACATCTTACTAGTTATCGTTCTTATTATTTTACAATATTTTACAAATATGCAGTTTTGCCTTTATGTCTGCTCTTTAGACTCCATAGGGTTTTGAAGCCTGTAAATACTTATATAGAATCAGATTGCCCCATTTTTCTCCCACAAAGCGGCTGATGAGTTCAAACCACTGACCTTTTAAGTAGTAGCTGAATTCTTAAAAAAACTGCTCCACAAGCTTATAAACCTTACTTTAAAAAGAAAAACTCATCCAGATGCATTACTTTAGTGATGTCTTGATCTTGAAATCTTAGATATTTAAGTTAGAAAGCTTCTCTGCAGTTGTTTGCAGCAGAACATTGACGTCCAGTCTGTCACTTTTCAGACATTTATCTTGATGTTGAACTTCATCTGTCCACTTTTTGTCTCACTATATAGTGATTGACCCCCATTCTGTTTGGGGAAGAATGAAGGAATGAGTAAGACACTGAGGAATTACTATTGTCACTATAGTTCTGTGGAAGTAGATAACTAATAGAAAATCCATATGTAGTAAAAATGTTTTAGAGAATGTGATCATAGAAAAGGTATATTTGATTATTATATAGGTCACTGAAGACATGAACTCAATTCAGAGACATTATAACTAAGCAATGTCAAGCTTCTAGTAAGAATAAAGGTAGAAACTTTCACATGCAAGTATCAGTTGGAAAATAAGCCTTGACATAATATCTCTTATCTCTCTATTTTTAAAGAACTACTATTTAGGTTATTGCTACAATTCGTAAGAAGTTCTCTTAACAGTAAGGAATCTTCTATTCATTATTAGTTTTTTGGTTTGTTTTTTGCTAATTACAGGTGCAAAGAAGAATTAAGCAATTAATTGTGAGACCATTGAAAAATGGCATAGGGAAAAATATTTTAGAAGATATGAAAGAGTATTGGGTTCAGTTTGAATTTGAGGTTCTAGGACATCTAAGTGAAATTTATTCAATAGAACATAGAAATGTAGGCCTGGTAAAGAATGGCCATGGGATAAGGCAAAGTTTTTTTCTTTATCTACGTAGAGACAGCTCAATAAAAACTCATTGCTGTGAGTCAGAACCAACTCATAGCTGAAACTCCAGTGGGTTTTCACAGGCTGTAAATTGCACAGGATAAGATCATCCATCTTTCCTCCAGCAGAGTGATGGATTAGAACTGTCTGACAGGAAAATCTTTGGCTTGCCAATGCAATCTTTATGGACTACACCACCAGAGTTCCCTATATCAATAGTAGCTATTAGAATACTTGATCTCTCCAACATAAAACTGTAGAAAAAGAACAAAAAGCTGAGCACTGAGCTTTAGTTTAGAAGAATGCAGGAAAACTTGCAAAATAGATGGGACTAATTCAATTCAATAAATATGAATAATAATTTATTATGCCCAATAATGTAAATTTATGTATAAAATATTTAGACTGTCTAATTATGTATTTTAGGATGAATATGTGTATGGTTAGTGGTTTATGTATGAGTGTTGAAACAAAATTTATACCAGATTTTGAAGATTCTGGAACTCTGATGGTGTAGTTTAAAAGGAGTTACCCTACTATCTACCAGAAGTTCTAGAAAAGAAAGATGAATAATTACTTCCTGTGTGATTTACAACCTCAGAAACCTGTTGGAGAGGGTCAGCGATGAGTTGGCTCCAACTTGATAGCAATAAGAGAGCATGTGATGGAATTAAACATTTTATGTATAATGTATTGTTCTTTAAAAATTAGTGGAATGAGCATTAAAAACTTATTTATAGGATTTCCAAAGAAAAAAATTATAATTTTGAAATCACTGACAAGTGTTCTTTATATTATATATTCTCGTGTCTTGTGTATTTGTGAAATTAATGCATTAATCAATTTTTCTCATTGATCTTTAAAACAAACAATTTATGTGGTATTAGCATCTAGTGTTTACTGATAAAACTGTGGATAAATTAAAGAAAACCCTAAGATTTTAATAATCCTTTGTAATATTAAGGAAAGACTTACCAGATACTTTAAAAGGGACTTAAACATAACAGACATTCTTAGTTTTCTTATGGTAATAAATTATTGGCCTCATTTTTAAGCAGATATATTCTTATCACTTTATCTCAGATCTTGATGCATCGAGCTGAGAGTACTAATATTCTGCTTTGTATGAAATATTTGTCTTTTAACTCATATCATATAATATCTTTTAGATGATACACACTTTCTCTCGATGTGTGCTATGCTGTGCGGAAGAAGTAGATCTTGATGAGCTTCTTGCTGCAAGATTGGTTTCTTTCTTAATGGATCATCACCAGGAAATTCTTCAAGTACCTACTTACTTACAGACTGCAGTAGAGAAACATCTTAACTACTTGAGGAAGGGCCATGTAGGTATTGTGCATTTAAAAACTCTCTGCCCTTGTCTATTACAAGCAGAAATTTACCTCAAAATCAAAAAAGGAACTTTATCTGCTCACAAAAACAAGCTGCAAAAAGGCCAGATGTTAGAGAGAATCTAGGACTCTGATTACTCCATTTCTTATTGCTATTCTGGTTTGTGTTTGGGAAATTAGTCCTTCACCTAGTGAAGTACTATGGCTGAGAAAGCTTTTGAAGTCACCAATTTACTTTTGCAATCCAAACATAAGAAAACTACCTTTTCAATTAATTTTGGAAGTTCTGGATTTAGGCTCTGTTTGACTCAATCTCTGTTAAATGCTCTTCCTTTGAGTAGTTGAGGGTGAATGAGAGGGAGGGACACACACTGATTGGCAGTCCCATCCTTGTACATAAATTAATGGTGACTGTTCTTCAAGGAAAATAAGGGTATTTGAAAAATGGAAGAAAACTATTAGTTAAAGGAGAGAACAAAAGTTTATCTACCTCAAACAAGCTATCTCTTACAATTTCTTTCTCTGATGCCTCCAAAACAATAGATGAAAAAGTATTACAAGATCAGAACATTAATGTTTTAATATGTCACTTAGGTTGTTTTTGTTTGGAGTTGAAAGGTTGCTATGTTTAATAGTTGTTGTTGTTGTTGTTATATGCCATCAAGTCGCCTGCATCTCATAGCGACCCCTATGGCCCTAACCCCTCCTCTATCCTATGCCAATCTCACTGTCTCCAACATACCTACGCCCATTACCCCAGTCAATTAATCAACCCATCTCATCAAGGGTCTTCCTTTCCTGCACTGTCCCTCTACCCTCCCAAGCATGATGTCTTTCTCAAAGGACTGGTCCCTCCTTGCTCCTTGTCCAGAGTGTACCAGACAAAGCTTCAGAATCCTTGTCCCCAAGGAGCAGCCTGGCTTCACCCTCTCCAGGATGAACCTGTTTGTTCTCCTAGCAGTCCATGGTATATTCTATACTCTTCTCCAATACCACAGTTCCAAGGCATCAATTCTATTTCTATCATTCCTAGTCATTGTTCAGCTCCCTGATAAACAACAAGAGATTGCAAAGACTATGGCCCAAATCAGGCACACCTTAATTTTCAAACTGACATTGTTACTCATCAGTACTCTGGAGAGGTCCCTGACAGCTGATTTTCCCAGTACAATTTGTCTCTTGATGTGGCTGCTGGTGCCAAGAGTGTTGCTTGTGGAGCCAAGCCGATTAACGCTATTAACAATCTCAGTCTCTTCACCATCCATCATAATGCTGCCAATTGGCCCAGTGGTGAGAATCTTTGTTTCTTTTTATATTGAGCCTCAATCCATATTGAAGGCTGTAGTCCTTGACCTTCTGTAGCATGCGCTTCAGGTCCTCTTCAGTTTCAGCAAACAGGGTTGTGTCATCTGCGTAATGCAGATTGTTGATTAGTCTACCTTCAATCCTGATGCCCCATTTCTCCTCATAGCGCCCTGCTTCCTGGATAATCTGCTCTGCATATAGATTGAAAAGGTATGGTGATAGGGCACATTCCTGGTGTACACCCTTCCCAATTTTGAACCATACATGCACTGAATAATTGTCTGGTGGTAAAATAATAGGTGCTAAATTCCATTGTATGAATACCACATTTAAGCATGACCAGAATTAATGGACTTATATCATTGTCTTCATTACAGATTAAAATTCCTGGGGATGGACTGATTGCTCCTTTGCCAACTTATTCATATTGTGAGCAGATTAGTGCTGAAGAGTTTGATGAACAAAAGATTTCTACCTCTCAAGCTGCAATTGCAGAACTTTTGGAGAATATTATTAAAAACAAAAGTTTGCCTCTAAAAGAGAAAAGGAAAAAACTAAAACAGGTAAGAGAATAAGCAGGCCCTCAGTGGTGTAATTATTTTCTAATATGTTGTTGCCCCTTGGTTTTTGGTAATATTTAGAATCAATTTTTTTCGTTTTAAAATGTTCTCTTTTACCATTAGTGCCTTTTCTGATCAGACTTGGGTTATTTTGGCAAAGCCATTTCAAGATTTAAATTATAATAAATATCTTTGTGTGACTCATTATTATCATTTGGAATTTTTAGTTGTAAATCAGAACACATGGCTCTATGTACAGTCCAATTTCAGGTTTAAAACATTCAGAAAAATACTAGATTCCTATAATCTTTATATACTTCACCAGTAAAAGGGAACGAGACCTCAAATATTAAAGTAGAAAGATTAGCAACAGAAGCAAACCCTAGAATGTTAATCACATCAAAGTGTTCTTACATTCTAACTTTCACATATAAGAAATGGGACAGGGGGCCAAGTAAAAGGAAACATCCCCATGATACATAGTTGAGAAAGGCAACAGATTTATTACAGACTGTGGAGCACTAGCTTCAGCTAGGAAAATAATGTTAAATGCTCTCTAATCCCTCACATCCTGTTTTTTTTTAAAGTTTCAGAAAGAATATCCCTTGATATATCAACAAAGATTTCCAACCACAGAGAGTGAAGCGGCACTTTTTGGTGACAAACCTACAATCAAGCAGCCAATGCTGATCTTAAGAAAACCAAAGTTTCGTAATCTGAGATACTGAATTAAAAACTGCAGTACTTGTGGAAATTTGACAGAGAAAGCCATATTTGAGAATTCAGCTACTAGAAGGAAAGTGTTATGAATAAGGTTTTCATAAATAAACATACTATGTTAAAAAACTGTCAAGATCGCTTAATAAATGCATTTTCAATGTGAAACTACTAACAAAATACTGAAGCTTAACTGAGACCAAGCAATAATGAAAAGATATAATACCAAGTTTTTAAACTAGAAACTATCTTATTTTGTGCAACTTATGTTAACATAAATGACAGTTGTGTTTAACTGAATTTTGAAAACTGATGTGTTCATAAGATTAAGCTATAATTCTATTAATTTTTCTGCATGTGTTATTTATGGATTATAGCTAAAGTGTTAGTTGCTTGAAATTACTTCTTTGTTTCTCTATGTAAGAATATGAAGAATGTTTTGAAAACAATTCTCAATTGATAAAATTACACTCTTTGTTATATTTTTTCCAGTTTTTATCTATTTATATCTATGTATGTTTTTAAATTGTGTGTGTGTCGATCTATCTCTGTGTGTATGATTATGAGTTTGCTTTAAACATGTATCCCAACTGCTTTAGGCATTCTTTTTTTTTTTAGCATCTTTTGATTTCCTATGATCATGTATTTACAAAAAAGATAGATACAAAAGAAATACACGGCAATACTATAGTCATTCAAAATATATTTATTTGCCAATTGCTATGTGCGTGTCATTGCCCCAGATGTGAAGGAATAATAGCAAAAGAGAGCCTTTCTTTTCTTAATTATTTTCTAATCAAAGGAGATACATCCTTAGACTAGCAATACATCTACTATAATAAAAGTAACCTGAAGACTTATTTTGGGGACTCTAGGACAGTTCTCTCAGCTAGTGGTTTTCAAAACTTGCTACACATTAAAATCACCTGTGTAGCTTTAAAGCACTGTGTGCCCAAAGCTCATCTGATACCAGTTAAATTTTAAATTGAGGGGGCTTATAGGACCTCCAGTGAGTCAGTGGTTAAAGCCCCTGGCTGCTAACAAAAAGTTGGCAGTTTGAACTCACCAGGTTTTCTACAACAGAAAGGTATGGCAATCTGCTTCCCTAAAGATTACAGCCTTGGCCATCTTTGAGAACATTTCTACTTTGTCCTGGAAAGTGGCTGTGAGTTGGAAACTACTTGGACTTGATTTTTTTTTTCAAATTTGATTAGTTTTTTGTTAACTGTATGGGTAGTTCTAGTGTTAAACCGAATATTTTTTATAAACCACCACGTAAAAGTGGAGACACACACAGGTTTTCTTTTTATTGAAAGAAAAGGTCAGATATAAATGCCTTTCATCTTGATGCAAGATTCTCAAAATTCCTTCTTTATTGACCTGATCCAAACTTGAAGCACACTTTTTTTTCCATTACCTACTCAAAAATTGTTTAGTATGTATTTCTTAAATGTAAGTAAATATAAAATTCCTGGGATGTAATAGACACTTACTGTTCAATGGCCATTATGATTTTTCAATGTAATTCATTACTATGGATGTGTAAAACAGTAGTCTTCCATTTAGTGCTACTTTTGTTAAAACTTTGGACAAAATTTGATAATCGTGTATTTAACCCAAAAGTCCTACCTACAAAATTATTGGACTAGATTGCAATTCTTTTAATGTTGTATTTATGTTTAAACTTTGATTTTTTTCAAAAGTATATAATAATGTGAATTATGTTACAACTGAGATAAAAGTTATTGTTAAGTTTTGTAAGAGTTAATTTTGTTTTTATTTATTAAATGACATTAAATATATAAATACTATAAAAGAAACATTAAACTGTCATCTGTATTAGTCTACATGCAATTAACATTATAAAAATAGGTGGACATGGGGGGATTTCTAGGAGGGGATGGACAATGAACACTGCATTGGAACAGATGAAGGAAAGAACTGTTTAAAAGGAATGTATGCTTAGGTATTGTATGTATGACAACAGTCCAGAATAAGAGGTATATTGCAAAAGCACATTGGGGAAGGGAGGGAAGAAATTGTACAACAATAAATGAATATTTAAAAAAAAAAAACCACAAAGAAATTGAACTGGGAAAGGGGAGGAAAATTTTTAGCAATGAATGAATTAAACCTGACTTTTCTGTAAACTCTTGTTACAATACAATAAAAAGTAAATAAACCATCTTAAAAAAGGAACTCTCAAGTTAGTATGAATCCTACCCTTGGGCAAGTTGCTTCTGTGAGTCTGTTTCCTTTTCAATAAAATGAAAATTATTAATAATAATACTTTAAAGATTATTTTGAGTATTAGGATAATATATATGGCATGCATGGCAGTGCTTTTAGTTAAGTAAACAATCTATAATTATTTGCTATTGTTATTAGAATCACCTAAAAGTATAGCTAGCTTTAGAAGAAACCATAGAAAAGAACACATTTCCCCCAATTGCTTTGATGAGGCATAAAACAAAAAAAAAACAAAAGTATGAATAGATGTTGAGTCTAAGAAATTATGTTGTAGTTATGAGCTAAAAATTTTATTCCTAACAATAATTTGTATGTCAAAACCCAGGTTTATCTAGAATAGTTGCCCTTCCACCATAAACAATCAGAAAACCAGATGAACTATGAAAAATGGCTATTATCAGGCATTGCACTATGATTCTACACATCACTGACTGAAAATTTTATTTAATAAAGAGAAAGTTAAAGGTGAAAGTTTAGATAGTTTTAGAAGTAATATCTTAGAGTATGTAAACATAAGGGATCCTTCGGAGGATTTAGTTATAGATAACACATACCTGTTCTAGACTCTTCAAATATAAATGAGTTAATTGATAGACTTGGTGTTGGGTGAATCTGAAAATTCTGATTTTTACCTTCTCAAGAAATAAGCAAAGTCAATATCCCAAAGCAAAGGGTTGGGGTAGAAAGTTGCTGTATAGTTCCAAGGAGACAAGGTTTGAAATACCCTAGTGAACTTGTGGCAATGCAGTTTCCACCAACTCATAAGATGTCTAGATAAAAATTGCAGTTCTGATCTAAGATATATTTATTGACACCACAATCTTTAATTCCTGATAATTTTGCCATTTTGGTGGCCTAATCCCTAAGATATTGCTCACATAGATACAACATTTGTTGTTGTTAATTGCCATCCAGTGCAAAATGACTCAAAGCAACCCTATGTACAACAAATCTGAACTCTACCCTATCTTGCACCATCCTTATCTTTAACACAGTTAAGCTCATTGCTGCAGACACTGTAGCAAGCCATCTTCTTGAGGGTCTATATGTATAGGAGACAAAACTTTACCATGTTTGCCTCCAAAGAACACTGGTTCGACTTTCTCCAAGACATATCTGTTCTTTGACAGTCCTTGGGATATTCAGCACTATACTCCAGCATCACAACTCAAAAGCATCAATTCTTCTGTCATCCTTAGTCATTGTCCAGTTCTCAGATGCACAGTCCATGAATGGAAAGAATGGCTTGAACAAGCACACTTTAGTCTTTGAACAGACAACATTGCCCTTGAGGACTTTGGAGCAGATCCTGACAGCAGACTTTTATCAATGTTTTACATCTTCTGATCTCCAAATTGCTGGTTCCAAAGGTGATGACTGTGGACCCAAGCAAGATGAAATGATTGACAGTTTCAATCTTCATCTACCATGATGTTGCCTACTGGCCCAGCAGTGAGAATTTTTGTTTTCTTT